AAAGGGGGAAACTTGCAAGCCTGAGAACAGCATCCCAACTGTGGCAAAGCAGCTTACAAGTCTGACTCAGTTCCACCAGTTCTGTCAGGAGGAATGGGCCAAAACTCTATCAAACTGTTGTGAGAAGCTTGTGGAAGGAAACCCAAAATGTTTGATCCAAGTCATACAGTTTAAAGGCAATGCTACCAAATACTAAGGAAATGTCTGACTTTGAAGAAAGTAATAAAAAATTCTCTCTGTCATTATTCTGGCATTTAGCAAATAGAAACAATTTTGGTAATCCTAACTGACCTAAAACAGGAAAAGTTTAGTCTGAGTTAATGTCAGATAGTGAGAAAAAAAAAAGGTTATATGTCTTTTTACACAGTGTATGTAAGCTTCTGGTTTCGTGTCAGGTCACATCATTAACATTACATAAGGTGCCGTCAATGTGGACAATTTGTATCTTTACTCTTAAACTCTGTGTCACTGAGGCTGAGACATTCTGGCTTTCTGTCACTAAAACAGGTCAAGAAAGTTTTTCTTCTTTTCATGTTCTGCCAATACTGTGTGAACATTAGACCCTCTAGATGGTTCCCAGACTTACAAAAACAACCTCAGAAGTCCTAATATCACAGTTTTAAGTTAGTCCTGGCAGTGACTAAATAAATAATCTTCATGTGTGAAACTGGTGGAGTCCCTCGTTAATTATTCACTTGACATTCATTTTCAGTATGAGCAGAACGGATTCTTGACATCAGAATATCGTCCTGGTAATAAGAACCGAGAAAACTTGTGATATTTAAAGAATTTAAACCTATCAAAACATGCGTGTACTTATTTAGTCACGCCTGTTTCACGCTGGTTGTTAACAAGCCATTTTGCAAATGTCTATGTTGACAATTTATTTTACACAAACACAAGGTTACTTTAATCTACTGCAGAGTACATGTAAGTCTGGATCATTTAGAGTAAACACAGATAAAAGAAGTGCGTTTCCGTTCAGTCGCATACAAAATGGGAGGCTTTCATTCTCTAACAGAGTTCACATCATGTAGGGTTGTCACAGTCCAAGTAATAAAGATGAGTTAATCATAAAGTCCTGACGGGGTGCTGGTGGCAATCAGTGGTACGTGGTATGTGCTGACAGGAGGGGAGCCTGGCCAGTGAATGAGGACAATAAAACTGATAACAGAAAGAGAGAGCAGCCCACGCCGCGCTTAGGTGGAGGTGCAGCGCTGTTCACAACTGAACAGGTGCGGAGCCTGAACCTCGCCGATCAATAGAGTATGTGGGTCAAGCTGACCGCTGACTTGTCGAAGGATTTATGCTGCACAGGATCTCCTTCTTCAGCTGTGCTCTGATTCACTGTGCTGGCCACGGAAAACGCTGCATTTAATTCCTCCTGTAAAACTATTCTGAGGAGGCCTGGGGCTCAGGCTAAAAGAGTCAAATTCCTTTTTTGATGAGCTGTAAATGATTTAATTTCATAAACAGAAACAGTGGAAACTGCATCTCCGTTAATTTTACCACGACTGAGATGAGTTTATTTGTGCATCGATAAAATGTGTGACTTAGTGCAGTTCTTTTTCTGGTTATGTGATCAAGTTAAAACATTACAACTGGCAGATATGTCATCAACATAAACTTTCGACTCTCAAATGATATCAGTAGCTGAAGCGTAGCCAGACGATGACAAGAAGTTGCTCACTTTACCGTCAGGATTTGGTTCCTCGTTTTATGGTAAATGGCTTATTTAGAAGTCAATTACCCAGAACAGAACTGGATTAGGCAATAAAAACGGAATCATAGCTGCAAGTAAAGGCCTGACACTGACGTACTGGAGAAACAGCAAAGCAGCATCACACCGTGAGAAACTGTAAAGCTGTTCAACCACAACAACAGATACACTGTAAAAAAAAAAAAAAAAAAAGGTCCAGTAAAAAACTCTAATCTGGCAGAAAGGGTGCCAACGAAAAAATACTGAAGCATTAAAAAAAATTGTGAAAATAACGGCAAATATCTGTACAATAAGGACATTTTTTGCTGATTGAAATACAGTAATAAAATAAAAAATAAAAAGTGAAATTTTACAGTCAAACAATGATTTTTGATGTAGGCATTATTTACAGTTTTGGCCCTTTTTTAATGGTTAAAATGCAAATTAGTACTTTTCTCTGTGATTCTAAAAGTTATCTTCAATTTAATTAAACAGAATAAAGTCTGTAAACTAGCAGCGAATTGCCCAAAACATTATAGTTAAAAACTACAAAAAAAAAAAGAAAATCATTTTCTACAGTGTACAGGTTGAAAAACAGTAAAATTTCAAGTATAACGAAAACAGTAATCGGATTTAGCGTTGCTACGACTGAGCAGAGAAAAGAAACAAGAGGTTGACATGGTGCTGAACAGCCCCAGACAGAAAACAAACTCTCCTGTGGTGCCTTCAGCTCGCTGCAACTGGGACGCTGCACATTAGCGAGAATCTATCAGTGCTCAGGAGTGAGAGAGGATCCTCTGAGAGAAGAATTAGAGAGAGGAGAGGTCGCACTAAACACACACCGACATTACGAGGTGCCAGATTTCATTATCACAACACAGCGAGGCCTTTTTTTCCCCCTTATCGGAACATCTTGAATGTAACCAGACCCAACATGGGGCCACACCCCTGTGTGGACACAAGGCACATCAGTCAGTCAAACCATTATCACGAATGAGAGAGAGAGAGAGAGCGAGCTGAAAAGTACTGTTTAGGGCACCGACTTATGTAACTGTCGCTTAATGAGTCTCATATGCCTGTTATTTTGGTCCTATCACTACTAGGATCCCATGGTACAGTGTGAGCACAGTACACAGAGTGCTCTTTGACCCAAAATCACAAGACTGCACTAAATACCCTCCAGCTCCTAATTGTTGTGCTACCTCTTCTGAGGAAGCCTGAGCAGCTGGGAAAAGATGTGCTGCTGTAGATTTTAAAAAGGTAATCCTCTGCTTTGTGTCACAGTGTTTATCGCAGTTGCAGTCAGTATCACAGTTTAATCGCTAATTTAGGAGAGAATGAGATGCACTGAAGTGAAGCCCCAATAGGAGAAAAGAGCTTGGAGGCACAAAATAAATACGATTTGTGTCGACAAGGCTTTGGCCCCACAAGTGCTGTGGCACTTCTGCTGCTGCTCAGATGGAAAATATTACATAATGCAAGGATGCTTCTCACTCTGACGGGCAACACATCAGCGCAAGGGCGACGGGCAGCGCACGATAGGAGCTCAGGTGTTAGTCCCAAGGAGAGAGCAGGAGATTTGCATGAGTTGTTTTCCCTTTCAAACATCCTGCGCTGAAAGCTGACCAACTCCACCGCCTCGCAGTCAAATGAGGAAGAAACATGCAGTTCGTGAATGGAACTGCACACACACACATATTCCCGTGCCACCGTCTTTGTCTTTGTACTACACCCTGGCTTGAAACCAGTCTGATTTGCATGATTATACATCTTTTCTAATCATCAGCGCATCACAGCTTCACCCAAATTAGTTTCTGCAGTATTTCAGGGAACAATGTTGAGATATTTTTACCATCCCATGCTTTATTAGGCCCTCTTTACACCGCCAGCCCACAAGGTCATAGGGCGATGTTGGCTGAGGAAATACACTTCACATTTCAGATGTTTTCAGGTTAGCCAGTCTGGATTTGGAAAAGCAAGCAAATCAAACAGAAAACTCTTCTGTTGCATGAATTCAAAAAACCCTGAGTCATTTCTAAAGGAAAGCATTTATCACTGATGTTACTGAAGCTCCTCAGATGAAGGCAACAACAAGTGAAAACGCGACTGCCAGCATAACAAAGGGACACATCAAAACGTGCCCTTTATCATGCTTCATTATGACAAAGCAAAACCCTCGTCAGACATCAACTTGTCAGCGATATATAAACACAAGCTCAACAAGTGAACGACAACTACTACGTCCACATCAGCAAGCCCTCAGTTTCTAGTGTTCAAGATAACCTGTTGTCTGTTTTTTCTCTTTAGACTGGCAAAGCTGTTCTTGTTTTGTTTTTTATGGACACAGCCCCGTGAATAGTTTGGTGTTGAGATGGATCAGGGTGGAGGGAACTGTGAAGTGCCTGGCTGCCAACTACCAGCGGGAGAAATGTCGCACTTCACTGTAAAGAGCAGTGATAATGTGATACATACTGAGGCTCAGGGATAATAAGTTCGCAATACAGGAAATCCACCATCTACAACACGTACTGTGTCAAAAAAAAGCTTAACAGCAGACTGAACACATGCAGGTAAGTTTCCCAGGTTTCTGAATCGAGCTATGAGGGGATCTTATTCTAATTATGATTACCCAGCACTCACACACACAGGAGGTTAAAAAGGTCAAATTTCTTCTTATTATTATGTTCTGAGTCAGAGGCTGTCTTCCTCTGTCTCCTGTTGCACAACCTTCAACATGCTTGCCTCATTTCCCATTAATTTGGACACGCTCACTACTTGTTTCTCACAAGACAGTGTTGAGGACGCAAGAACAAAAAAAACACTTCCTCATTAATTAAGAAACTGCAGCAAAAAAAAAAGGTTGATTTAGTCATGAAAACAAAACAACAACAACAAAAAGAGTGTCCAACAGCTACATACAGTACATAACTAGTGGCTTTAGCTTAAACAGCAGCAACAAGAATTCAATTCACAGATGGAGGATTTAATCCACCTCAACCACAACAACACTCACACCTTCACTCACAATCAAACTATGTTCAAATAATGAGTCTGGTGTGGATATGAGCCTGATCAGGTGAGTCATTTTCCCAGAATGACACCTTTACATTACAAACAGGGTATGTGGATGACTTGGTTCAGTTTAAGCGAACACCTGCAGTTTGTTTGTTTTGTTTTCTTCACCTGTCGCGACAACACCTGAGAGCTGCCACTTTGAAACACCACGTACAGCAAATGTGTGTGTGTGTCACTACTTGTGCAGATGTATTCTATCATCTATCGCGTGATGCAGCAAACTCACAGTAATCGTCTTGTTATTCTCGTAGAAATATTGTTTTCCTGTGCTGCAGTCCTCACACGGAGCCTTGGTTCCTCAAGCAGACGATCCCCAGCAGAGAAATAAATGCGATTTAGAGTTAAGGTACGCAGTGTTTGTTTCTCCACCGCAGGCTGACTGTGTCCAACCGAAGAGTCAGTCCTCTGCTGAGAGCAGCGAGAAGCCCCGTGTGTCTGTCCCTGCCCTGCTCTCTCTCTCTCTCTCTCTCTCGCTCTCTCTCCCCTACAACCATCCAGGCGGTGCACCACTGGATACGAGGAAGAAAAGCGACTCCAACACGCCCTCTGCTGCCTCCCCAGGTCTGTCCAACAGCAGTATAAGAAAAAAAACATACATATTAACTAACTAAAGTTGGTGTGACGATAATAAGCTTTCGTAATAGCAGCCTTGCTAATCTTTAAATAGAACTGAGTTCATTTTACTGGTCTGAAGAAACCAAAATAAATGGGGTTGGGGTATGTTAATTATATTTTTAAGTACAAATAAGCCTGTGCTTTTTTTTTGTTTTTATCTGAATATACCAATACAGTTTTTACTGTGAGTCTAATGGAGAGTTTTGAGCTAACAACATTATGCTACATTAGCTTGATGTAGCACTAGCTAGCTAGCTTCAATTCTTTTTTTTTTTAAAAGTGTAGGATAAGAGTTTAATATCAGGGATAATAAAGAGATATTAAAGTTGCATTCTCTGTAAATGTGATTTCTCATAGGAATATCAATTCTTAATTAAAAATTCTCCAACTTCTTTTTAAAAAATTGTAGTATTTCTGTTTGCATTATCTAAGTTGTGTTGCAGTTAAGTGAGAGCTGCATCAAAATGTAGAAATAAATACATCAATTTAAACAAAAAATGCATATGCTTAGTTTGTAATATGTGAAAATGTGAAGAAGTATGGACATTATCATCTTGTGCAGTAACATACAAGTCAACTGCCAGTAAAAAAATAGAAATAAATCATGAGCTGTTTGAAGGCTGTCTAGCTGAGCGAATAACATTATGCTACATTAGCTAGCTAGCTAGCTTCAATTCTTTTTTAATGTAGGATAAGAGTTTATTATCAGTAATAATGAAGTCATATTAAAGTTACATTCCATGTAAATGTGATCTCTCATAGAAATATCAATTCTTCATTAATTAAAAATTCTCAAACTTCTTTTAAACAAACTGGTATAGCGACGTTAGCGTCTTCGCTGCTAAAGCGTTACCAGCGACGGTTCGCCATGTTTTTGCGCTTAAAAACATTGCACAACAAACAAGATGGAGGACGGACGCGTTATGCACGGTTATACACTTAATGCCATGAGCAACTACGCAGGGCTGCTCGTCTCCACACAAAAAAAATCTTAGCATTTGATAAACCTGCGTGTTCGTCTGCCCATTGGCTAGAGGTTATGGCGTCAAAGAGTGTCTGCAACCCGACTGGTTGAATCTGCAAGGGTGGGACTGTCTGAGACACTCATTGGCTCTTCAGGGTGTCAGTCACCCCCCAGAGACCTCCTATTGGCCAAACTAGATGCCAATCAAAAGCTAAGCCTTAAGTGTAGCCGTGTGTAGCACATTTAGCGCGATCTAAAATAGATTCTGCACGATTTCGCCAGAAGAAATGAATAAAACAGCCGGAGCTGATCTCAAGCTCGGAAGACATTACTGCAGCATTTGTGCCTTTAAGGATCTAACACGACTTCTGGACCAAATTATTTTACTGGATTGTTTTCACTGGATCTATGCGGACAGGATGAGACCAATTTGGTGAGGAATGAGCTGCAGAGAGCCTTCAAAAGTAAGAAATGTTGAGTTTTAACAGTTTGCGTTTCTGTACAAAAAGCTCTTTGTGTCAACACTGTGGTTGCTGCGTGTCAGAAACGTTTGCATCATCGGAAAGACGAGACTCTTCGGTTTCATCTGATGTGTATATTGTCGGGCTACTTGATTGAGGAGCCTGCACAAATGGCCGTAATGTTTTTGGAAGGTCGTCATGTCCCGGGACCGGAACTTAGGAATGCTGAGGGGTTAAATATTTGACTGAATACATGTCAGTTAGCCAGGTACAATCAATGTGCACAGCCTTTTCCCTCTTAAACCCCAATCAGCAAATTAAGCTACCTTTGGGCATATTCTGGATACATTTGGCATAATTAGAGGCATCTTTTGGAACACTTGGAAGCGGGGCATATTTTACGTATATTTTTTCATAATGTGATCACATTTTTGAACTTTTCAGGTATATATTGGCACAGGAAGGGCACATTTTGGTACTTTTCAGGTTCATTTTGGAATTTCCTGAGCATGTTAAGATACATTTTAGCATATTAAGTGCACATTCTGGCTTCATTCTGTCATTATCTGGGCACATTTTGTTACAGTTGGAGTACATTGTGGCATTCTTGGCCATATCTTTTGCATTAAATTCCCCAGTAGGCCAGTAGTCATATTAGGCTCCATATAGGCCTAAGAGGTTGAGGGAAAAGACAATATTTTTTTTTAGCTGTAATGAACAGAGACCATTGGGTCTGAATGTAATTTACAATCATATAAGTGAATGCAGAAAAACAAACAAGACTTAACATTACTGACTCAACCAAATGCGTATTGGAGAAGTGTGGCAGAGAAAAAGGACAAGCTGGAAGCTCTAGTACAAACACTGGAAAGCATTTTTATT